GGCTCTGTGTGCGTGCGCCTGCGATGACTCAAATGGTGGGCTGCATGCACATTGGCGCAGACAATGTGGGCTGCTGGCTTGTGGGCCGAGAACTCTGTGTTCCGCCGGTCCACAATGGGCTGGCTTTGACGTGACATGAGTTGGTGTCGGCATCCAAATTTCATGTCATGAATGCCGATAGCGTGTGTCTTTTTCCCAATTACTTTTTGCATAGAATAACAAGATCCGTTCCGGCAGAAGAGGCGGCCCTTGACCAAACCTGAGGGGACGCGCTTACATAACCAACCCCGTTGAGATTCTGTGGCGCTTACCAGTCAGTGCCTGACGTACGGCAGCCCGTCACCGGTACGGGTGGGCCCAGCTTTCAATTGTTGTGACGTCTGGTTGGTTGGGTGACAGACACCGTCCTCCTGTCACACACGATACTTTCTCGACTTCATTCTAATACTTCCTTTCTGTTCCAGCCGATTTGCTAGCCACGAACTTCCCAATTCGAGCCCCTCCCTCACCACGTCTCTTCATTTCGCCATCGAAGTGGCAAACATGACACTAGCGGCCGGATTCCAGCTCAACTTCACATGGCGATAGCAAGAGCTCTCTGGCGACCTCTGGTCCCGAGCTCGATATTGCCCAGGAGCTCTTATTTGTGGTTGTTCGCATCAATGCAACGTTCGGCCTCTAGTGTAATGCGACCACCGAGCCCTAAGCGACAGCCTAGCAAACCCAAGTCCATCAAGAGACTCATACCTGAAGAAGTAAAAAATTTTGTCAAGGCCGATGGCAAGCTCCTGACCACGCCCCAAAACCGAGACTTCCTCCTCAGATATGGCCTCGAACCCGACCATGGACGGATGATCCGCTTCAACGGAGGCTCTGAGCTATCCCGAGCTGCCTCAGATTTCAGCGCCACGTTGGCATATAGTCCACGACACATCATCCATCCGTTCGACCTCCGCTATTTCGACCCACGGGGTCACCCTCTGGCACCAATGAAGCGGGCCAAATATGCTCAGAAAACGCGGCAAGAGCCAATGTGGATTATGACCACCAGTTTTGGGAGCGCGTCTGCTGTCGTACGTACACTTACTCGCCGACGACTGACGCGATATGTATACGAAGCTCTTCATACGCTTGGGTATCGGGCCGGATCTCAAAACGGCGTGGCCAGCATAGTTTGGGGAACCCTTTGGATTACAATACATGATCCTGTAAAAGCCGCAACACAGTCGCCGGAGCGGTTCGGGCGCGTTATAGCCGATGCTTTGGTCAAATACTGCAGAAAATGAAGGCGGTATTGTACAACATCACTCTCTTCTAGTTTGGAATTTTAGGGTCCTACTGACGGCATGTGACGGCGTTTATTGTATCGATATCCTGTTGGGGCAGTCTGGACCGGCGTAGGTTTATGATTAGGTCGTTGGCTACTGAGGCCGATCTCACATATTCCGTAAATTACTGGCCTTTGAATCAAGAAGGCATACTACAGAGCATCCCGTATATTAATTCGACCAAACACAAAATTCATAGCCATGCAGGCCGACGTTGATGTATATCAACCTGGCCCAATGCAATGTCGCGACCTGCAACCGACCTGCCTATCGCTGGACGCGTGAGTGTCAGCCCACATATGCTGGGAAGATGACACAAGAGAACCCAGGCCTAGCTACAGAACTTTTGTGCAATCATCCCCAATCCTCTGGCCACTCGTTCGATAGAGGCAACTTCCACCCACTCCTCTTTGGCGTGAAGGCCATCACCTATTGGGCCCCAGAGGAGGACGGGGATGTCTTTGCCAGCCAGCAGGGCGCAATCAGTCCAGTACGGTCCTTTGCTGAATTTGGCCTTTCTTCCCAGCACCTCACTGGCAACGCCGCTCACAAGGGCTGCAAAGGGGTGCTCGGGATCAATGCTGAAAGGGGCCCTATCAAAAGTTACCCGCAAGTCATACTTGAAGTCCTTGACTGACTTGGCGAGGCTGTCCAGAATAGTTTGAAACTCTTGTCTAACCGAATCGACAGACTCGCCTGCAATAGTTCGACGCTCTATCACCACAGTGCACAATGCTGGATATGAAGACTCCTCCTCACCACCCTTGATTGTGGATGCATGGACACTTGGAGCCAGGAGGGGATCGGCCCAACCTTTGCTCAAGTTTTCTGAATACCTGTCCAATTCGACCAAAAAATAACCTGCCCGAGTAATGGCGTCTATGCCAACTGTTGGTAGTGATCCATGTGATGCGAGGCCATGAATATCGACTTCGAGCCAAACAAATCCTTTGTGCCCGTGGATTATTTCTTCGCCAGTCGGCTCATTGACAACAGCACCGTCTGCTCTCCAGCCTGCTTCAAGAACCTGTTCTGTGCCAATGCTGGTTGCTTCCTCGTCGGCCACGCCAGTAAATATGACGTCGCCCCGAAGAGCCTGGGCCTTGGACGCCGCCAATGCAGACATGGCAGCAGCTATTCCGCATTTCATGTCATCGGCTCCGCGTCCATAGAGCTTCCCATCCTTAATTTCTCCACCTAGAGGGTCATCACCATAACCCAGCGTTGTGACTGTGTCGATATGCCCGTTGAACATTAAATTCTTGCCCCCGCCTGAACCTCGAACAACACCAACAATGGACGGGCGCCCCTTGGTTGGCTCAATCCAATGAGTCTCAATATCGCGATGTTCAAGCCAAGAGCCAATAAAACGGGCAATCTCAGTCTCTCCTGGACCAGGCACAGACCCCAGTGCTGGATTGGAAGAGTCGATGCGGACTAGAGCTTGGGTCAAGGCGACAGGGTCATCAACGGAGACGTCCATGGGAGTGCGATAGCTTCTGGCTCCCTCTGTGCAGAGAAGAACCACCACAGAATCTTGTCCGAGGCCCAAGTCAGCCATATCCTTCCTTGTAAGGCGTTTGAGAGCAGCAAGAGGTGAAGCGCCGCATGGCCCTGCTGATATGTGTCGAGATTTGAGATATTGGGACGCCTGATGTGCCTCATAATCAGACACGGTCAAACTGGCGTCCACACCAGATTTCAGCAATGGCCATGCGATGGGTGACAAGGTAGCACAGTCAAGGCCAGCCATGATAGTGGAATATGTCTGAACATGAACAGGCTTTTTGGCACGTAAGCTCTTATACAAACATGCTGCGGTGTCAGGTTCAACCGTCATGACGGCTGTCTTGCAAGCCTTGCTTTTATAATGCGAGACAACTGCTTGTGCAAAAGATCCTACACCGACTGGAGCGATGACCAGATCGGCTTCAGTACCATTGAGCTGGCTGTCAATCTCCCGCAACATCGTCATATATCCATCCACTATCCACTATGTGTAGGGAGTATTAGAAAATCGCAACTATACACGACAGCAGATGTGAGACCTCACCTGGGGAATTTCCTTATAGTCGTCAAAGGAATAGTCCTGGACAAGGAGCCCACCTCTTGCCGCGCAAGCTTCTCGAGCAGTGTCCATGGCGTCATCATAGGTACCAGCATTGACGGAAACTATGGCGCCCTCTTCTTCTAATCGTTTCATCGTCTCTGACGGCATATTTGCAGGAACATGGATTTCCACAGGCACACCGAGGAGAGACCCCATCCTAGCCACAGCTCTGCCATGATTGCCCTCGCTCGCTGCATACAGGGGAATGGGTAAACGCGCCAGAGCATCTTTCACGGTCGCCAAGTCTGCATCTAGAGGGAGGCCAAGTTTTTGGGAAACGGCGCGAAAAGTTCCCCAGGAGGCACCCAGGATCTTGAAAGACGGCAGACCGAACCTCGTGCTTTCGTCTTTGAGATGGACGGCTTTGATGCCGAGATCATTGGCAACCTCGTCAAGCTGCACGAGCCTGGTGGGGCCACCAGGGAACTGGCTATGGAATCTGTCAACCAGCCTCGTGTCGTCGACGGAAAGGGACATGGAGCTATCTGCACACCACGAGGCAGCACCTGGGTTGAGCTGCATAGCCCTTCGAAACGCGGCCATATTAGTGGCTCGAGATCACCGCGAGCAAAGCGAACGAATCAAGGATTGCCGAGACCTTTTGTAAACCTGTTGGCTAGAGAAGTGCACCGTTGATTCAGACTCCGTGGGGAGAGAAAAAACAGAAAATTCTCTGGACGGAATGCACATGATATTTATCTGTAACTGAGGGGGAGGATTTTGCTGTTCTTTCCTTGTACAACAGGCGCCTTCTGTGCACAGAGTGCGTGCGCCTTCCCGCTGTATAATTACTATCCACGGACGAAAAATGGAAATCCGTCATGGGCCAGTGGTTCCACTACCGAAAGCCAACAGAACTCTCTGGGAGCGTCTATGAAACGGCTACACCTCTTATAACATCAAGTGAGGCAATACGTTGGCAGATTATACTTGGCTGTAAATGCAGTCCGCCGAGCCATGTCTACTCGGCCGAAAGGAGCCTGGCAACCGGGCGCATTGCGGTCGTGGGAGATAGGAGAGGGCGTCAAGGACGTGCGGTCGACAGAAATCAAGACTGAAACCGGGAGGCCATTAAATATTCGGATTATCACGGCACTGGCTTGGTGTATCACATGAGCAGTAGCCTTTAAGCTGAGTTTTTGGTTTTCAACGGCATACTCCGTACGTACCATGGTGATTATTGGCTGACGCCACACATGGCAACTCATGACACACCCTCCGTAATGGGGCATTCCAACCAGCTTGCAGCCTGTTGTCGGCCGGTAGACTTGGGAAGACTGGAGCTTCTCGAAAACGCCACCGCATGCCTCTCAGTGGCATCTGTCCGCCCTGTCCGTGAGGGTGGTCTCTGCCCGTCTGCCCGCCTCATCCAATCCAGCCAGAATGAGAAACAAGCCATTTAGCCCAATTTTCTCCCCTCTCAATCCGACGCTAGCTTGACATTGCCTTTTCACTTGCTGAGAAAGACGTCACTGCGTCGCCCTCACCATTGAATCATTGCTATGCGAGACGTCTAAAGTATTCCTTAATCCGTAGCCTGTTCGTCTGGGGTGTAGGAGCAGATGTCAACCGACAATGATTTCTTCGTGGGCGTGGTCGACGCCACGGCCATAGAGGGCGCAAATGACGACCGCCGAGTGTCCGGCCTCTCAACCTCAACCGACCTGGAGTCGCCGCAGAGCATCGTCGGGACCGGTGCGACTGCCGGCGTCACTACGGTGCTACCTGCCGACTTAGACTGGTCTGAATCGTTTTTGTTCGGAGCGGATATAGGTAGCCAGGATGCCATCTCTCCGCAGTTCCCTTCGGCGATACCCGGCTTTGAGTCCCAAGACACGAGCCTCACATTTCCGCATCCGGCTGGGGACTATGACAGTGCCGCCTTTTCTCTCTCCCTCCCTATGCAAGAGCCAGCTCCTGGAATAGAGCCGGCATCGTATCAAGAAGCTATGGAGGAGTTCTTTGCCAAGAACGGAGCTTGGCGCCCCCCGGAGCCCTGCAATCATTGCAAGCGTCTGCGTTTACAATGTTTTATGCTCCAAACTACAGATGCCAACCCCAACCCCGTCAATTCTTGTTCTAGTTGCGTTGCCCTTTTTAGAAATTGCAGTCTAGCTGAGCGGTCGAAGCGCGGCCACTCCCAGTTCGAGACTTCATGTCCGGTGATTGGGCACTTGCACGGAGTCAGTGAGGAAGAAAACCAGTTGGTCTGGCATCAGGTTTCCCAACCGGCTGCTGGTCCGACGTCTGGGCCGTCTGGGCCGCCTCCTAATGCAGGTGCTAGGCTCTCAGTGACCAGCAAGAGGTCTAGCTCTCGTTCTGTTCGGAAAACACAGATCCTACGAGATTGGTTCGCGGTCAATATTCAACACCCGTATCCAACGGATGACGAAAAAATGACGCTGGCCGAGCAATCAGGTCTAAGCAGGACCCAAGTTATCAACTGGTTCACCAACGCCAGACGACGCCATCGCTTGTCTACGCAACCGATGGTCAACAACGCGACTTTTCGTGCTGGATCGCCTATGCCACGCTCTTTAATTTCGAGTATGACGCCATTTGAAAGATGGAGACACTCACCCCCAGACAGTGAACCAGTCTCAGAAGCAGCTATTCAGAAGGCAATCGGTTCCAACTCAAGCATTCACCATGGGGTAGGGGCACCAGGCGATGCCGATGATTTAGGGTCTTCAGCAAGTACAGATTCAATGTTGTACTCTCGGTCGGCGCTGCATTACTCTTCGGATGGGTCCTTATCCAACTACTCGCGTGCATCTGCTAACAGTGACGCCGTTCTGTCCGGAAGGAGTTCGGAAGACCCTGCCCATCCTGCATGGGTGAAGTCAGCATCGGCAAGGTCGAAAAGGTCAAAGGCTCGTACTTTTACATGCAGTTACTGCTCGCGCAACTTCAACAAAAAATATGATTGGCTTAGACATGAGCGATCCGTACATGCCCCTGGCGACACGTCGTGGGTTTGTGCCATTCCATTACCGCCCGAGCAGCCTTACATCGTCTGGCGACTAGGTCAGACACAGGCAGAGTGTATCTTTTGCGGACAATCATCCCCGACAGAAGAGCACTTTCAGTCGCACGAGTTTGAATCATGTGCCAAGCGTGCGGTTCAGGATAGGAGCTTTACCAGGAAGGATCATATGTGGCAGCATCTGTACAAGTTCCACGGGTGTCGGAAGTGGGAAGGTTGGAAACCGGACGTGAATCTGCTAAGGTACAAAGCTGAGGGAACATGAGGTAGAATCTTTGTCTGGATTTTGCTCAATACTATAAAATCTGGGCGGATGGCCTATTTCGAAGGATATATTAGCGACGTGTGTTTTTTTATCACAGCCCATTCTTCACAGCGTTGAAGCACAACCGATGAGCCTGGGTATGCCATTCAAAAGTGCTTTGAGCAACTAGGAGACAATAGTTGTGGAGCTTAAAGTGCGAGTGAAAGGGTGTTATTAAACTGTAACTATATATTAAAGACTTTTGACGCCTATCTTGCGGAGGTTGATAAGACACCTATGTGCCCGGAGGACCCATCCTTCACTTTCAACTTCCTTTTTGCTGGATACCCTTAGCCTCCTTACATACGGGAGTCTAAATACATACAAAAGACTCTAATTAGCTAGCATATCGTCCCGCATGACTAAATTAGTACTCACTGCTCTGGAGTTCGAACTGCACCTCCTTAATAAACCATCTCAAAGCATATTTTGATCCTCTGCTTTCTCGAAAACACATCAGCTAACAAGAACAAAACGTGAAACTTTGGGGGGGTGATTTCCTTGGTGGTGCTGGGGAAAAGAGCACAGGTACGGTTTACCTGCTTAATGGCAAGCTTGTACCAACCTCGTATGGGTGAAGATACCTACCTAGGTAGGGAGGCAAGTGGGAGGGCATCAATTGATGTTTTGTTCCGAATTAGCCCTCTAAGATGGGTTCCAAGCACATGACTTGGCAGCTCAAGGGCATATTTGGGTATCATTCCGGGCTATAAAAATACAAATGTCACTACTCTAGGACTCTTACGGTGTTTTGGGCGTTGCGATTCTGTATAAGCTCAAGCTAGGTAACGACTTAAGTTGCTGCTGGGGCTTTCGCTTGTTGCGCTTGTGGATTCCGGCAAGGCCCTTATTGCAGCTGACAGTGATTGCTCTTGTTGCACCAGCAGACAAGAGAAGTAGAGGAGTCGCCTGGTTCATTCGGCGGTGTTAGTCTCTAGCTGTAGGAACGCGTAGCTCGTGTTGACATCGCCGTTTAGCTGCCAAAACGCTTGACGAAACTAGCTTCGATGAAGGACTGATGACCGATTTTATCGGAGCTGTACAAAGTCAACAATCATCAAGCGTTGTAGATGTTTGTGCAACGCATACATCTATAGCATTATTGGGGGTGATTTTTCCACTCCAAGCAACTCCAATCTCCCCCATTTACAAACACCGCTCTTAGCGGAAGGTGTTTTAGCGGATATGATCTCGATATCTGGACGTTACGGTGTGACCTGGAGCGTGAAATGTCACCTTTGTATTACTGTAAGTAAGCCTCAAGGCCTATGGTACATTTGCGCATAAAGAAAGACGACGGGGAAAACCAGATACTAATATGTAATAATAGCTAGAGTACTGACATGATATTCTCCCAACTCTACTCGTGGCAAATGCTACGATTTGGAATTGATTGTTGCGATACCACCTCGGTCGCAATAGAAACAGTACTTGTTCAGTTCCTTGTGAATGAGGATAGATCCCGGGGCCTAGATGGATTCAACATGGACTCTGACTGCTCTTTGCACTTGCACCTGCATTTTAGTTGTGACGATTACGATGCAAAGCTAACAAGGTGTTAATTCAACGTAAGCATACCAATCCCTACTCCGCTTGCATTCTGGAAAGTAACAAACTGCGTTATTTGCGCCAGCTGCCTATATATAGCTAGCAGGCCGAATTCTATTCCTATGTATGGAAGGGCTGGTGAATGATTGGCTGTTATGATATTGGACCTGTATTGCCTTTTTCCTTGATTTACACACCTCGTCACACTGTTTTCCGTATGAAGCCGTTGACTAGAGCTTCATATCTTCTGAGCGTCTCATCTCTGTGTAATATAATCGACGGCAAGAATATGGCGAGCGAGGAGTCATGACGGAAACTATTTCAGAGGTTCGGGGGGCAATCCCATTAGCTCCTTCCCAGATACTAGTCATGGCAACCCAAGATCGTCTGATCACTCCTGCCGTGTTATCTTGCGGGACAAGTACTAACCTCCTTCCAAACACACACACACATATGTATACATTATATCAACAGTCATTCATCTACCTCCCAAGCCAAAACCCTCGTCTCCGTCTCCTTCATCTTTCTCTCCACCAACTCCTCCATACCTGACCTCTCCAACTCATCCAGCACATCTAATCTCTTCCTCCAGGCATCTTCCTGCGCCACCCCAGGATTCCCAAAGAATCGTGGATCCAGCTCCCTCCAAAATATGGAGTCAAATGCGAAATTCTTCCGCGCCGCGTAAATCACCCAAAACTCTCCGCTGTCCCAGCTCTCCTTCATCCGGGGCGACAGTCGCTGGGCCTCATCAAGCCGACCTGACGCTATAGCGGCGTCCTCGACATCTGTCATTGCTTTCAAGAATATCTTAAGCCGACTATCATATATCTCTTTCCAATTTTCCAAGCCGTCTGGCCAGTACTCTGGTTGTTCGAGGAGCAACCACCAGGGCGGGGAGAAGGAGAACTCAGCTGGCGCAGCGTACGTAAATTCCCAGTCTACCACACCAACAATTTGCATATTCGCATCTAGCAGAACGTTTGATGGCCGGAGATCGTCACACCACAATTTGAACGGACCATCAGCGTGCGCCTTGGATAGTAGTCGGCGTTGCCTGACGAGTTTACGGAATAACTGTCTAGCGATATACTTGCGCCGGCAATCGGTCTCTGAGTCTACCGCATCATTTCGTTGGTGTGTTAGATGGTCAATATGAAGCTGTGATAAGGCCTCGAAATAGTCAAATGACGAGGCAAATATTCCGTTCGGTAACTTATTTCGCGGCAGAGTCCCCAGCCTTATAAGCTCATTCATATGAATAGAGAGTGGCCGACGGCGAGCTTCTGACTCAAACTCGTTCATCTCCTCGAGTGAACCTATATTTGGAAATTCCAGCTTGGATAGCTGTAACAATACATCTGCGAGTTGGCAGTATAACATTTCAAGCTTTTCCAGGTTTATATGCGGATTAAGGCGAGGTCGATCTTCCCAATGCAGTTCAGGTATGTTAAGAACTTTGCAAACGTCCGTCTCATGGTTAATATATTCCATAATAATGAATGGGCCAAGTCCAAGAGGGCTTTCTTCTCTTGATCCCCAGTGCAGGATAAATGGCACGGGTATAGAGGTATTATCCTGGATATACCTTATCGTCGCTACCTCATTCTGGATCTTCTCCTCAGGAAACATAGTGCAGCTGGCTTGGTAAAGCGAATCACGGCCGACCCGCCGTCTTGGAACTTCATGCGGAAAAGGACGTTGAAAGCACCGGCCTTGGGATCACACAATTCTGTAGGCACACCATGACGATGTTTGACAATGAAGTCTCCAATTGCTCGCAGCGATTCTTCCTTAAGGATGTCCTTCACCCAGGCGCTTTCAACGTTCTCGCTTTCCTCCCAGGCGACGTCGTCGAAACGCATTCGAGGTTCCATTGTCTTTGTCGTTTCCATGTAGAGGCAATGCTCAAAAAGGGGGTGAGGAGCATGAGTAAAGAAGGATCACTGGTACGACTTTGATGAACTTGTCGATTGGGCCTGCTCGAGTTGGGCTGGGGAACAGGGTAATAATGTCCGTGCCTTGTTCATCTGACAGTCCCACCTGCGTGGTGACACCTCGAGCCAATAAGAGACCACTTTCACAACGATGTTGGACGACGTTTGGGTAGGCATTTGGCTACAGAAATGCTGTTGGGAATGTATTCGAGTTCTTTCGTAACGCCGGGACCATTACTGGGCCCCTGATGCGATTATAAAGCAATGACAGACACATATCACCAACAGTCCAAGACCTACGACAAGGCAGCTATCCATTGATACTGAACATATGTGGCATCACTTGAACTAGTCTATTGGCTATGAACCTCCTCATGACCTTCCATACTCACCCAACAAGGGGGCTTTGACTCGGGGTCGGTGCTGATATTGGCCAGTAGTTGATACTGCTACTCGACGACAAAGATGGCCGCCTTGACCAAATCCTCAAGACGGACCTCGAACTCTAGAACATAACTCATGGCTCTCCCGCTATTCTCAAACCATGGAAATGATAATCAACTAGCTCACATTACTACCCAGGAAGACATACCTGTATTGCAATTTTTACTCCAGGTGCCTAAATTAATTCTGACTTAAGTATCCTCTCTTAGAGCCATACCCGCAATATGTCGTCCAAAAACCAAGGTTCCTCCCGTCAGCAGGCACAATTCCAGCTCGGTATATCCGCGTCCAATGCCAAGACTTTGACGGATCAGGGTACTGCGTCTGGATCTCGGCGCGGGAAGACATACGGACCGGATTCGTACAGGCTGGCCACTACCGCGGAAGAATCACAGCTCAAGAAGACTGCGGAGGCGTCTGTGGAGAAGCGACAGCATGTTACTGATAGTATTGCCGACAGTTACAGAAAGACCTCTAACTGACACCTTCAAAGTCGGGATGGGTTATGCGGAAACAAGCTTGAGCGTTCTTGCAGGATATCGGTGGCATGTTATGTATTGACAATACCTCTCTGCTTGTTGTCATGCTGTCAAGAATTTACTTTCGTAGCGAGTGCTTTTGAAATCAAGCAAAGACGCGGGCATCCCTTGCTACGAAGCCAGGTAGCTCGACAGTACTGAGGCTGAAGTAGTTCGAGGGTGTCAAGTAGTCCGATGAACGAAAAGCCCGCTACATCTCGTGGCAATACAAGTTCCTGCTGTGCTAAATAGCACACAACATGTGTAGCTACCACTGTTATCAGTTCTTCTGCAAGGTTATCTGGATTCCCCTACAACGAATTGAAGGTCCATCCACCGCCGTCTGGATTGTGTCACGAACCACGAATTTGTGAAGGAATCTAGAATTGAAACCCGGATTGTATCCCAAGGCCTCTGCATTTAACATTATTGGAACCACTCAGATGTCTAAAAGGCTATCAGGATTCTATGAATGTAGCAGGACTCGTTGCGTCAAGCTAAAATGTGCTTTTTTCAAGCTAATTATAGAATTGGAATACTATGTTATAATCTGGGACATATAGGCTACTCCCTGGAGTCCTCAGTTTCGAGTTCCGAATCCATGAATCGCGACTTGGCTAAGAAGGACAGTGTCTGTCAAAAGAATGCTTCTTTTGTGCTATCATTTGCTGGCATCGGATTGAATAGCGAGAATACCACTGGCACCTGCACGGCCGGGGCGTACAGTGGCTGTACTCCGTAACACGGCAAAAAAAGGACTCACTAGCAATTGATAGTCTCGTCAGGACGAGATGATCTATCTGTGTAAGTGAATGAAATCTAATTTACACGGTGCCATGACGCTGACAAACAAGAGTGCGGGGCGGATTATAACCATGCCCCAACCTCCAACCGTTGATGCTGGTATTGGCGTCTGGAGGACGAGCCTGAAATAAGTTGGTTATGCAAAATATGGGTTCCAGCATATTTTAAGTACCTAGATAGCCCCTCTTAGCTTATCCTTGTATTTCCTAATCAGATAAGAGTACTCTTGCATATCAACCAACTTCTTCGGCGGCCTCTCGCCCTCGAAGTTGCCTTTTCCGTGGCCATTGAAATGGACCTTCCAGGCTATGAGCAGGTTAGCACCCTGGACATACATATTCATGAAATGTAGGGCACAGAACGTGCAAGAACTCACTATTAGCATAAGGGCTTAGGTACGACCAGCTGTCATTAAGATAGAACTTGTCGCCACCAACGCGGATTGTCTTGACTTGGCCCATCGCCCCCGGCGCCGGACGGAGCTGGCTGAGGCCGGCGCAAAGCTTCACTAGTCCGGTAACGAAGGCGAGTGCAATATCCTCGCCAAAACAATGGTGATGAGCGTGGCTGAAAGAGGTCGCAGGGCCTACCTGACGTTTTGCGTCAAACTTGTCGGGACTGGAAACCTCCGATGGATTACGCCCGGCGTCGCCCTAGAATTTGATCAGAATTTCTTGTGCTGGGCTGTACTTGCAGAATAATAATGTGGAAGGCAAAGGTCCTGAGACAGAATTAGTAGAAGCTTGGACTTACAAGCATAGTAATAATAACATCCCCCGGTTGAATTGACTTGCCCTCCAGTTCAGCCGGCTGGGTCGCGATACGCAGATTGCGTTGTGAGCTCGTGAGACGTTGTGCCTCAACAACATAGGCACGGAGAGAGCCATCATCAGACTTTTGAGCATAGTCTTGCACATCAGCCCACACGGATGCATTCTCGGGACGCAGAAAGAACTCCATAACTTCGTAGAACTACGATTGAATTAGCATCTTTAGTTGAATCGTTACACCAAATGACGACAAATACTTACTGTATTGACTGGAGATCCGACACCGCCAAAGGCGGTCAGCCATAGGCTGTCAACAACTCTCTCAGTCGAATCTCCTTGGGCCAGGAGCTCCTCAACAAGTTTCAAGCCACACGATCTCAAAGATTTCTCCTTGATGTGAGCCTTGCGGGTGAATTTACTCGTCAAGGCAGAGACGACGCTCAATCCGAAGCCCCCACTAACAGCAACTTCATCAACTAGCTTGCGAGTGGACTTGATGATGACCTCAAGACTCTCCTTAGCATGACGGCGACGGTTCCAGGCCTCACCAGAGTCGGTATTATCCCCCCAGGCGCGAATATTGACAAGGTGCTGATACAGATCGACTGTGCCTAGTTTGCCGTCCGGGTTCTCATCAGAGCGAAAGTCAAAATAGAAGAGGTCTGCGAGTAGCCGAGTCAACAATGGAATAGCAATATCTCGGACCAGATCGACCTGGTTAAGACCTTCTTTGAGCCTGAAAGTCTCCTTTTGGATCATCCGTGTGCCGACGCCGTCGATGAAGTCGTCTATGGCATGATACAAGTCTGGGATATTGCCCATTGCTTTATCGAAACCAGCACGATCCGCATAGCTATGGGCTTCATCGCCAGCCAATATAAAGCAACCCAAATTCTTCTTTCCTGGAAACAAGCAGTTGAATGATTTGAGCCAAGGCGCAACGAATTGTGCGGGGTTATCAAGTATTTTCTTAATCGAGGCATTTGTGGAAATTATGATGGGCTTTGCTGGAGGCTTTGGGTCATCCAGCGTATATTGGTCCAGCGTTCCAAGCTCCTGAGCAATCTTTTCGTTGGCCTTCTTTGTGTACATGGGTTGCATAACGGCAACGGAGTTAAAGGGGAACCAGCCGGGAACACCTCGTTGTATGAGCTTATACAACATGGAACCACCAAGAGTCTTGTAGTCTTGCTGGACTTCATTGTAGCCCCAACTTGTGAGATTGGCGACCGTATAGTCGATTGTGTTGAATCTGTCTGACCGCACGAGCGTGATGGCGTCAGAAAGGATTGCGCGACCGACTGAGTAAGTTGGGCAGATTCCGCAACCAGGATTGCGGACGGGCTTAATGTCCTCTATCATGAGACCTGGATAAAGTTCCACCATGTCAGGATCCGCATACAGCTTTTCCAGGATGTTGGCAATCTCCTCGTCTGAGTTGATATCACTGAACTTATCATATCGCTTGAGTCCAAAGAACTCACGAAATTCGTTCAAGGATGCAACCTGCCATTTGCGAGCTTGATTGATACCAAGAACTTCGACCACTTTCAGCGCCTTAGGGACCATACGGGCGCCAAATGCACCAGCTGGGTCCTCCATGGCCTCTTTTAGAATGCGGACAAGGTCCTCGTCTTTGAATGTCCCGCCGGCCTGACGCTCTAGGCCGTCAAATGTTCGAACACTAGGATCTTTGGGAATACTCTGTTCAAAGGCGACCAACGCCTGACCGAGCTCGACATGGCTCACGTCATTCAAGTCGTCTGGGTTGCGACCTGGGAAAAGCTTGAGAAAGAAATCGTTAATCCAACGCTCGTCTTTTTTGGAGATGCAAGAGTGAAATCGGTATATCAGATTGAACTCGACGCTGACCTGATTGCCAACGCCGCGAGGAACACCCTCGCCATCATACTGGTTGCCTATCTCGATCCTAGGATCCAATGTCCAATCACTCTTAGAGTGGTGGGTGTTGGTGATAGCTCGCAAGTAGTCATGCAGGGATATGTTGACATAAAGCCCGCCAACGATCAAACGCGCGGTATTGAAGATGTCATGGTCTTGTTTGGCTACAGCCCGGGCTCTGTCTTCAGGACTGGCATTTGGCGGGCATGCCAGTGTGAACCGCCCATTCTCGTTGATTTTTAACAAGATGTCGGCAACGTAGTTGTGGAAGCGGCTGTAGAGGACCAGCATGACATTGACACCGGCGGGCTGCCCTAATAGCCGTTTCTCGTGGAAGGTGTCGGGCTTCAACTTGCCCTCTTTCATGGTACGGATTTCCAACTGATCCTTGAGTGACGAACCGTATAGGGGCGCCAGGTCAAGATATGACGACGTATCAGACTTGTTCATGTCCGTACGATTAGTGCGAAAGATGTCATGGATGATGATGGATGCATGGTAGAAGAGCATAGACGAGATGCCAGCAGGGTTCTCCATAAAGTTGTCCTCATCGCGAGCCATCAAAAGATCAAAGAGTAGACCCGGATCAGGCTTGACTCCTTGCAGCCGCTTTAGTGGACGGACAGACTTGGCATATGGCGTACCGGCTTTTCCCAAGTTAGGCTGAAGGACACTGTTGAAGCTCCCATCAGGTAGCCGATATTGGTAGGTACCGTCAGGGACTTTTGGAATGCGTTCCCGTAGCATTATGTCGCTATCAGGAGCCTTGAACTCAATCGTGCTATAGGTCTCATTGTCGTCTTTGTCAACGGGCTCGTGGGAGTTCACAACCTCATACTTGACATCGCCTCCAACATAGCTCAGGGGTGGATGCTGGAGATTACTCCACAGCCTGTCGATAAACTTGCTGGTGAGTCGAGTACGAAGTTTTGATGTGGAGGGTAGGCTTGTAAGAATGCTAATCAGGAGCTCGGTGGTGCTGTCTCTTGTCAGAAACGTTCTTTCAGATGCTGAATGCTACGTACCCCTTCTTGTCATCAATGGGCTCTCCTTTGTGTAAGAGTTCTCTCATTAATTCCACAATCTCCTTTTTGGACGTCCGAGTCTGAACGCCAACAGCATTATTCCAGATATATTCAGCAATGTCGGCGGCATCGGTCATAAGATGTGATGATTCTGTATGGGGATCCCCGTAAGTCTCACCAGCCTGGAACTTCTTTTCAAATGACATGTTTGTGTCTGAGAAGTGAATTGTAAGTGTATTAAGTTTTTGTTTTACAGTAGGAAAACGAAATTTGGACGAGTAGTCCGAGACTGCCAAATGGCTGCTCTTATTTATACATTAAAATTCATTAAATTATTGAGCACCCCGGCGGGCCTATGGGAAGCAACTCAATTGTTATTTAGCTGCAGCCTTCAGCTGAGCCGTAATGGTAAGAAGTCAGCCGCATACCATAGCCTCCTCCTAGATGTTCCCACCGTAGTATGGAGTACCTGCAGCTGTGCAGAATCTTGACGTCGGCAGCAGCCAGTCGTGAAATTGGGGCTGTGAATGTACAGAGACCCATCTGCAGCGAGAAATCTTTCGGGGCGCAACGCGAAGATCATTCGATAGTAGACTTGCCTTGATTCGCCAAGGCAGAACATTTGACCCCGGAGGGTCGGGCGTACTGCATGGAAGGAAAATCTCGAAAATAGAACAAACTGACATTAGAGGTTTCTGATTGGTGAGATGGATAACGGCCAGCTGACTTTGGGGCAAATATTTCCTTGCACATATGTACTAAAGTTCTTCGCTGCATGATCCGGCGTTGCGTTGCGTCAACACATTTCGCTGAACGCCGTCTCCACTCTTTCATACCGAATGAAACCGCATATTTTTTCATCTCGTCAGCCTGCCGGATACGGAGCGCAATAATAAGTTTCGGGCGTAGTCTGACTCAGAACTAGGTCCTTAACGCCCCTTACGCCATGCCATGTATTAGGAACGAGGCAACCATGGATGTAGGTGAGCCGTGAGAGAAGGTAACGTTGCTCCGTAGTCTCGGTAGGAACTCTTGGCTGAACAGCCTCGGTGTGCCACATGGCTCGTTTAAGCCTCGAGTTGCATTTGCGACACTGACACTCCGGACACTCGGGACAAATATCCGCATAAGCCCAATAAGGCGCTCGTCGGATCGATCACCTGACTTGACGACGTGAAGCTCGGTGGTGTTCGCTTAAATGACTCTCTCATGACGGCAGTTGGACAAAGTTATGATGAAGAGCTAGACATCAGGAAAAGGAACTTCTGACTATGGTGGAATACAGGACGGGGGGAAGAAACTAGACGTTGGGGACAAGTACAGGAAAAGAGGGCACTACTACCATCGAAGGATGACCATTGTGTCAAGTTGTCACTAGCTTGGACTAAGCGAAGGCTTGTAGCGTTCGACACGATTGCGCATAGTACATGCAAAACATGCGAGTGGGAACCAAGTCTTGACGATGATGGAATGAGTCCGTTGGTAGGATGCAAATTCTCATTTTGTATTGAACATTGGAACAGCCCTCGACCCACTTCCCACCCCCAGCATCGCTCCTTCCAACTCACAACGGAACCAGTCAACTGCTGAAGTGGAGCTGTGACGAATCAGAAGCCAGCTGCCCGTCCAGAGCCACGAATAGATTTGACTTCCATTTGCCTCGACACCGAAGCTTCAACTGCCTAGGTGGCTCAGAACCTACCATATTCGACCTATTTCGATGTTTTTGCGGATAAACAAGATTTGTTACCAAGGTCGCCGCGAATAATCCATCCAGCAAACTGGCTCGATTGCGCAGCTCTTTGTTCAGGAGTGCCTAGGAGCACCACGCCCACCTCCAGGGACACAACTTGCAACTCCAAGATCATCATTTGAGGAATATGCTCGTCTCCCTCACCGTCGGCAAGGTCGACGCTGGCGTGACGGTCCTCCTGACGCCGGACAAACGACTGGTATACCAGACCTTTCCCCCCGAACAGCCGCCCTAAACATACGACTGGTTTCTAACAACTTGCACAGATCGAGTTCCCCTCCATCCTCCTGCCCCCGAACATTTCATCTGGTAGCATCGTCGACATCACCGTCTCTCAAAATAACGAAAAAGAATCGCTCGAAGAGCAAAAGTTTCGCGACCTACAAGATCGCATATTCCAGTCCTTTGGCGCTTCTGAGCCTGCCAACCCCGTTCTCCGCTGTCGCAATGCCACCCAGACGTCAGTCGTTCTCGAATGGGACCCAATAGAGCTCGCCACCGCCGATTTGATATCCCTCAGTCTGTATCGCAATTGCCAAAAGGCCGGAAACATTCCCCGACCGATGCAGATGCACAGCACCAAGATCAGTGGCCTGGCTGTCGATACAGAGTACACGTTCCACCTTGTGTTGAGGACCACTGCTGGGACACGTATGAGTGAGAAGGTGACTGTGCGTACGCATAAGATGACCGATTTGAGCGGTATCACCATCACCACGGGCATTTTGCCTGGAGCTCTCAAGGAAAACTTGGGCAAGGCCGTGGAGCGTATTGGCGCCAAGATCGTGGACGGGGTGCGCATCGATACTACACATTTTGTAACTACAGAGGGGAGAGGTACAGCTTGGGAAAAGGCCGTTGAGAACAACATTCCCGTGGTACGGCCGGAATGGGTGGACGCCTGTGAGAAGAATGGCCGCATTCTGGGTGTCACCAAGTTCTATCTGGATGCAATGAGACCCGGGCCTCCTAGTAGCGACACCATCTCACCTCCGCCAGTTCCTGTCAAGGATGAGCCCCCAGCCCCCAGCCCCGAGGCCGCGAAGACGACAGAGACGACGGAGAATGGGGATGGGGTAGATGAACCAGAGGCAGAAGCGGAGCAGAAGGCCGATAAAGAAGCAGAGGAAGAGCCCGAGCAAACGCTCAAGACGCCGTCGCAAGCTGAAGCGCAAAAAATGAGACTCGAAGACATGGAAGAGCAAAAGGTTGCCCTGCGCCCAAGCACTTCAAATCAAGAAGGCGACGCGCCCGAACCACAGAGAGGTGACGACGGCGTAGACAGAGACGTAAAGGAGAAGCCATCTGGCACACCAGACGGCGCGTCCTTCCAGGAAGTGGAATTGTAGGTCGCCATTTCAGCCATGGTAAAGGGTTGAACAAAACCTATTTCTTTGAATGATAGATGGAATAATACTTCATTTAATGCCACTTATTGTATTCCATCCTAAGGCGGAATCTCCTCGCCCTTCCAATCCAAACACTTCCCCCGTTGACCAAGATGCAACGCATTCACCACACTCACCATTCTCTCCACCGCGTACTCGGGACTAAACAGCTGCTTCTCCGGAACCCTCTCCCAAAACTCCCTACTCAGCGCGGTCCTCACCGTTCCGGGATGATACGCCATCGCCACGGCCTTGTCGCCACTCCTCGCCCTGAGCATCACATCCATGCTCTTGGTGATGCTATTCACCGCAGCCTTGCTGGCGCGGTACGAGAACCAGCCCCCGGACCTGTTATCCGCGATGGACCCGACCCTCGCAGACATGAACACCCACGTAGCATGCGCAGGCAGCGCATCCAGCCCCCCGCGATCCATCCCCGTCCCGCGCCGCGGCAGAAACTCCGCAAAGTGCTTCATAAGCAGCAGCGGCCCCATGGCGTTCACCCGGAACATGGCCAGGCTAGCATCGGCATCTACCTGCGCAGGGCTCTTCTCGGGCGTCAGGACCCCCGGCATCGCAAAGGACAGGTGTAAGTGGTGGCGGTCCGGGGGGAACAGCCCCCGCGCCGCGTGCGAA